TAACCCTTGCTTGGCACGGCTCATCTCTTGGGTTTCCGACACTCTAACTGCTCTAGGAAGTCCTTAACTACCTGTTCTACATTAGATTGACTAAAATTTTGTGCGTCATTATCTTCAGTTGGGCACTATTACTCTCCCTTGCCTTCCTTCTACTATGCAGTTGGTGGATTGATTTCTTTACAAAGTTACACAATTTTGCATATCCATTTTCTTCTTAGCAAACTCTTAATATTTTTTATTATTGCATCATGAGTTTGAGGGGAATGTAATATTTTAGTAGTAGGAGTAGTTTGGTCCTTTTATCATTTCCTTGTTTTCGTTACTAAAAAGGGTTTCTATTATACATCTTTGGTCTTAAGTTATAACAAACTATTTTAGTTATGTTAATTTCTTTTTTCTATTTTCTCTCTTTTTGATCAATCTTTTCGATCAATTTTTTCAGTCTCATCTCACTTAAATCAATCGACCCTATGGTTTTTGTTTTGCTTTCTGTCTCGAGAAGAATAGAAGGAGATAACAACATATTAAGAGTGAAAGATAAAGAGAACAAAAAGAGGATAAATTCAAGCTATTGTTGTTATATCTTTACATCCAAGAAAAAAAAACCACATTGAATGGAAAATTTAGAAAATCAACATATGCTAAAGCTCATTCTTCTCATCTCCTACTCAAAAGAAAAAGATCTGGCAATAAGAACTCATCACATTCTAGCTACATCTATTTAAAGCATAACCCCATATCCCCAAATTGAGACTGTGGCACACCACACACTTATTCCCTTTCCCTTTTTGCATGCCATAACTTCTCAATTTCCAGGTAACATCAGTCTATTACAAATTGCATGGACCCATTGCGTTCCGCAAAACATCTAACAAAAGAAATCCTCCCTTTAAACCAGGCAATCAAGGAAAATGAGGGTTGCTATATAGTCTTAGTGGTGTAGGATCAAATTAAGTATTTCAGGAAATGTTTTGCCCTTTTCGGGGCTTTTTGACAAATAAGTTAGGGGTGCCGCATTGGCGCTTAAGTGCGGTCATAAATGGAGAAGGGTCTTTGCACCATGGACAGATGTGGAGGTACGGAAGCTAGTCCACGATGATAGATTTAGATTAGCAACATGGAACATAGGTACACTCACCGGCAAAACAATGGAATTAGTAGACACTATAAGCATAAGATTTAAGATTTACTACAGAAAAGGATAATCGAAGAAATAGAGTAAGAATAGTTATAGATAAAGACCTAAAGGATAGTGTAGTAGCAATTGTAAGGAAAGGATATGGGATTATATCTATCAAACTTGTAGTCGAAAAAAATATAATTAATGTGAGTAGCGCTTATGCACCCCAAGTAGGGTTAGAAGAACATATTAAAAAGCAATTTTGGGAACAAATGGATGAATTAGTTCAACTTCAACATATATCTATAGGAGAGAAGATAATCATAGGTGAAGATTTCAATGGACATGTAAAAAAAAATATGACACAATATGAGAGGTTGAATGGTGGTTATGGATATGGTGATCGAAATGAAGCCGGAGAGAGTATTTTAGAGTTTGCAATGGCATATGACCTTGTAGTGGCAAACTTTAGAAAACGATAAGAACATCTAATAACCTTTAAGAGCGGACCAAAAAAAAAGCCAAGTAGACAACTTCTTAAGTAAAAGAACAGACCAATCAGCATGTAAAGATTGCAATGTCATCCCGAGGGAGAGCTTAACATCTCATCATAGTCTAACAATCCTAGATTTATATATTAAAGGACAACATAGAATAAGGAAAAGCATTAGAAAAACAAGAACAAGACAATAGAATCTAAAAGATGAGAAACTAATATTATTTAAGAGTATAATGCTTAAGGAGGCCTTATGAAACCAGTATGTGGGGTAGGATGACAGAAGACATACGTAAAATTTCGAAAGAGATTTTTGGAAAGCCAAAGGGTAGAGGACTTGTGAGAAAAGAAACTTGATGGTGGAATGACGACGTACAAGATGTAGTTAAAGCAAAGAAAGAATCCTTTAAGAGATGGCAAAATGATAGAAAGAACGAGAACTTCCAAAGATATAAATTAGCTAACAAGGTTAAAAAGATAGTTAGAGATGTTAAGTTACAAGTCTACAACAAACTGTATAAAAAATTAGATAATAAAGAGAGAGAAAAAGATATTTACAAATTAGCTAAAATTAGGGAACGAAAAAACAAGAGACTTTAACCACGTTAAGTACATCAAGGGTGAGTACTCAAAGGTTTTAGTTAAAGACAATGAAATAAATGGTCGGTGGAAAGACTATATTGAGAAACTATAAAATGGAAACTACTTAGGAAACTTAGAAAATACATAAAATGGAAGGATTCATGAAACGTTCTTTCGTAGAAGAAAGAATTTAGAGGTAGAGTTTACATTGAAGCAAATAAAATTAGGCAAAGCTTTAGAACCAAATGAGATTCCAATTGAGATTTGAAAGTGGTTAGGAAAAGCGGCAATGTCATGGCTAACGAAATTATTCAATAGAATTATTGTTACTAGGAAAATGCCCGATGAATGGATAAAGTATTTTAGTACCTATCTATAAAAATAAAGGAACTATTCAAAATTATAATAATTATATAGGGATAAAATTGATGAGTCATACAATAAAATTATAGGAAAGGGTCATTGAACGTCGCCTAAAAGTCGAGACTATAGTGTCGGAAAATTAGTTTGGGTTTATGCAGAGTAGATCAACTATGGAGACTATATATTTATTGAGGACACTCACAGAAAAGTATAGAGAGAAAAAGAAAAATCTCCATATGATATTTATAAATCTAGAAAAGGCGTATGATAAAGTCCCTAAAAATATAATACGGAGGGTGCTTGAGAAAAAAGGAGTGACAAATAGGTATATTGAGGTGATAAAAGACACGTATGACGGAGCTATGACTATAATTAGGTCTTATGTGGGAGAAAGTAAAGAATTTTCAATCACGATGAGATTACACTAAGGATCAGCCCCAAGTCTATATCTATTCACCCTAATTATGAATGAACTCACTAGGCAAATTCAAGATAATATCCCATGATGTATGCTATTTGTAGATGATGTTGTATTAGTAGATGAAACTAGAAGGGAGACTAACAATAAGTTAAAAATTTTAAGAAAGATACTCGAGTCAGAAGGATTTAAAATAAGTAAGAGTAAGACTGAATATATGCGATGCAATTTTAGTAATAGAAGTAGACAGTGAAAAAGTTAAAATTGAAAATCAAAAAATACTAACGAGTAATCGATTTAGATATCTAGGATTGTTCATTAAAAATGATAGAGAGATTAGATATGTTGTAACTTATAGAATCAAGATCAACACCAGTTGGCTTAAGTGGAGGAAAGTCTATGGCATATTATGTGATAGAAAGATACCAATAAAATTGAAAAGCAAGTTTTACCGAATAGCTACAAGGACAACAATATTGTATAAGACAAAATATTGGGCAACCAGGAAACAAAATAATGACAAAATGAGTGTAGCGAAAATGAAAATGCTAAAATAGATGTGTGAAAAAACTAGAAATGATAGAATATAAAATGACCGTATTAAATAAATGGTAGGAGTAACTCCAATTAAGGAAAAGTTAATAGATAATAGATTAAGATGGTTTAGTCATGTTCAACGGAGGCAGAAAGAGACACCATTCGAAAAAGTGATAGAATTTCTCTTAATGGTACTAGAACTAGGGATAGACATAAGTTAACATTACACGAAATAACAAGAAAATTTATGAAAATACTTACCTTAAATGAGCGTATAGCACATGATCCAAATAAATGGCAAAGAGGGACTCATATAGCCGACTTCAAATGATTGAGACATAAGTATTGGGTTGGTTTGGTTTAGTTTGGTATCCTTGGACATGAAGTCATGAACATTACAATCAAGTGTAATTAAAAAATCACTTTCAGAGGTTATCCCAAAATCCATAGCAGTTTCTATTGCATAATAGAGTTAAATGAGAAATACCTCAAGGCAAATCACAGAAAAAACATCGGGGTTAATATAATAAATGGTTTCTAAAGAAGTTGTAAGCCACAATGGTGAATGCTGCATCAAAAACCTAGAGAGTCAGATAACATCATTGAGAGCACCAGTGAAAATATAAATAGGCAGTCAATCAGTGATTGGGTAAGTCTTCATATGAGACTAGCCAATGGCCAAACTATCCCAAACCAACAGCAATTTTTTTAGGGAGAGTGGTGTATAGGGGTGACCACCACAGCCAATAAAAATAGCGGTCTCAAAATAGTAACAATGTTAAGTATAGCTCTGTAAGAAAAATCAATCCACAAAAAGCAAACAGTAGATTCATAGGGCCAACAATGACATTAGTTGTGACTAAGAAGGCACTACCTGTACACACACACATGCCAAAACCACTGCCCTCCACATGCTTTAATTATTCTAGAAGCCAAAAACTCAAAAAAGAATGTAAACAGAAAATATATGAATGACCTGTGCAAGGCCAGGCTGGAGAGCACACTGTATCATCAACCGGCCAATCACATCATGTGCAACAACTGTTTCAATGACTTCTCCTCCAACAAGCTTCACCAAGGGCTCATTGTCAAGATCGCTCATCTCCACAACAACATGACCTCTCAATCCCTCTTTTACTCCGGTAAGGCTAAGCACAACCCTCAAAGCACGTGCATCACTCTGATTAATTAAAAGAAGTTCACAACATGTAAGTTATCTGTTTTTGCACTGTTTGACCATTATCAATGAATAATAAATAAAGGTGAGAAGTACCTGATCTGCATTTTCGTCAGATGCTAGTACGATGACAGCTCGTGCCTTTGAAACAGAAACCTGTGAATACATAAGAGAGAGAACACAAGTAACACCTTCCGAAAAAAAAAAGAGAACACAAGCAACACCTAAACAACATTGACACCTTTAAGCCCAATATTACACCCCAAAGTAGAATAATACAAATAAAATAAGCAGGAAATAATAAAACCAGACAAGCACGCACAAGACGAGGAGGGGTTATAGGTTGCACTACTGTACCTTCTTTAAGTCAGCAAGAATAAGAGGACTGCCACTCCTACAGATAACAGATGTTCCCATGAAGTCAAATTCAAGCTTCGCTATATCCATTTCCATCTCCTCCTTGTCTCTCTCTGCAAGTACAACAACAACACCGCCACCAACACTCTTATTTGCAATTGCTAGTTGCTTCAACAGTGAACCCTGAAATCAAAAATCACGTCTTAATCCTCTACAATCTACTCTTAATGACTGAAAATTTTCAAATTCTTTGACCTCAAGGATCAGACACTGAACGTCTTTCACTGCAAATCACATAATGACCAGCTACGCAAAAGTAATCACCAGAGTGGATCAAGGGTTTGGGAGATTCCCTTAGCACAAGCGCTCATATGAAAAACCGCAAGAAGTAATCTGGCTACAATATTGATCCTATTCCTAAAACACAGAAATATTTGGTGGACCTAATCTGCACACATCAAAGCCTATTCAGATCCATGCCTACTCATTTTCAAAAAGGAGATGCTTTCAAGTTTCAACAACTATGATTAACCACAGTTCCATGGACAACTGAGTTATTCTGCTTTCAACAACTCTTTATCAACTCTAAAAAGGTTACTCTCAGTATCACCATTACTCATATAGTTATGTGACCAAAAGGGGTATATATCCTAATGACACCACGACTAGTCATAAGTCAATTTTATTGGAAAGTAAACTTCATTTTTAGGAGCTACATTCTATAAAACAGTTTTAATTTGGTCTGTGTTATTGGTGTGATAATGTTGAAGTAGTGGACTGATGTATTAGTGGTGTGTTAGGGTGGCATGTGGCGAAGAAGTAAGGTCCCAATATTCCTGGCTAGGAATCATAACTGGAGTTTATAAATACCTCAAGTACTCCAGCCTTGAGGTTAGTAGATTAAAACTGAAGGAGTAATTAGGTAAAGGGGCGTTGACTGTGTTTTGATTAATTTTGAATGAGATAAAATGTGTCAGAGTGAATCTCCTCTCCTGCAGTCATGCGCATCTAGAGCTTTTTGAGTGATTTACCCACTTGCCTCAAACAAAGCTCAAAATAAGAGTGATGCACCAAGTTCAAAGATAATCCAGAGAATTACCAATTTGTCGCTCCATCCAAGAATTAGTATGTGGTTACTTTCAATAACTTCACTCTTCCCTTTCCGCAATGAATCCACCTTCTCTGATATAGCATCCGAAACAAGCCCTAGCATCATAGCAAATATCAGCATGCCTCCTGAACTTATAGAGACTGAAACAATCCTTGGCCCAATTCCAACCCTATCAGCATGATTTCCGGAGTCCGCAACAAAAGTCCAAGAGAGCCAAAGGGCTTCTGCAAAACTACCATCACTAACAGCATACAATGCCAAGCCACCAAATCCGATAAGGAATATAGTTGCGAAGAGAAGTGCAAGCAACTTTGCATAAGGATAGACAGAAAAACAGACATCCACAACATATGCAATTCTCTTCTTTAATGGAACCTCCTCTTTCCCACCCTTTGTCCTCTTTGAGAGATTCTTTATTTGGGGGAGATTATCAAGATATTTATACAACACAAATGGTGTAATAATAGTGAATAAAACAATACACAGTGCAACTGTTCTACTGTCAGCATTAGAATGATCCAAAACTGAAGCCTCACTGCCAAGCTCCACTACATCAATGTAGTCAAATTGAACACCAGCTTTAGGGTCACAAAGTCTACGCAGATTATTATTGTCTTCCTGCAGGCAAATCCACCTTAATTATCAGAAGCCAACAAGGAAAATCACCAAACACTGGCAAAGCTTTTAGCTCTACAACAAAAAACAAAATCAATAAAACCATAAGCCACTGTTTGTTTGTTGAGAAAAGGAGGAAAACCGAATAAAACTACATTTCTTACTTTATGCTCCTTGCCATTTTGGTTTCTTCAAAAATAAAAACGTACCTAGATCATGACCTAAGTCACAAAGAGCAGAAGCGGGGGAGAGAGTGAGTGCAGGAGCAGGAGCACAAAAGCAGAAAATTTCAAAAAAATATTAGAGTTGGAACACCTTGAGAGTGTTATATTATAAATATACATACATATTTATCCATATATAAGTAAATAAAAATACACTTTAAAAAAATTAAATATCATATTTTAATCTATCAAAACTTTTTTAAACTTTGTTACTATTAATTTGAGGTTTAACACCATGGTGAATGATAAACGAAAGAATGTTGGGAAGGCATTTCCCTGTCTTTGGACATCGTCCCACATTGTAAATCAGTCGGACGGTGCAGCTGATGAAGCCTATAAAAGGATCGGTGGGCTTTACATCAACCATTGCATTTTCTAGTGTCAGAGTGCATAGCCTTAGCTGGAAACCAGCAGAGGCAGTCACATGCTTTTGACAGTCGCAAAGCGTAAACTCAGTGATGTGACAAAGTAAAATATTAAATTCTCAAATTGATAAGAGTGCAAAAGCAGATTCATGATGTTTTTGCTCACAAAGCGCAAATTAACGAGCGATGCTTTAGAGCGTGCCTATGTTTGGTCGAATCATGTGACTTAGATCATGATCCCATATAAAACTCAAGTATTGATGTGAGGCTCAGTTGAGCCAAGTCTTAAAATTTTTCAGTCAGGGTCAGTCAAACATCTGATATTCAACATTTCAATTCAATATCTTTCTTTCTCTAAAATCTTCTCAGCAAACAAACAGAATATTACGGAAAATCAGATTCGGAAAATCAGATTCTTCTAAGAAAATTCAAACACATACCTGAAGTCTTGTGACTTTATTTTGCAAAAGAATTACGTAAGATACAGATAATATACAAATAAGTGTGATCTGCAAAAGGAAGATTAGACGCAAAATCATCAACATACTCATAGATATAAATGACTAAAGACATAATTCGCAAAGTCGCAAAGAAAGCTAATGAGTACAAAACTAAGAACTCATCTCAAGAAATGAATTCAATTTCGTTGTGTTCTTTTCTTTACATGTGCAATGTTTTCTTGGCAACGAAACAGAGGCTAAATAAATGAATCAGAATCAAAACGTACCAAATTAAACACCGAGGAATTTCTAAATCTGGAAATTTCCCGAGCACCAGAACTAAAAGCTAAATTCTCCGATGATGATGATGATGATGACGACGAAACCAAAGCTTGAACAGGCAATGGCTTCGTCTTCTTATCGGATTTCAGCTTTGGCTTCGGATCCGGCACCGGAGCTGGCTTAGCCTGCGGAGCACCAGTACGGTGCACCGAATACACCGTAGAACCAAATCCACCTCTCAAATTCGACGGCAACGAAGCACTACGAACTGGAGATTCCGAAGACAGCTGGTGCCGCTGTGGTTTCGACGAAGACTTCACAGTGACGACTCGATTACGAGTAGTGTAAGGGCCGAGAAAGGAGGGGTACACATAGTCGCGGTCAGGGAAACTTGAACTGTGATTCGACATACTATCACTGCTGCTGGAGTTGTCGGAGTCCATGGAGGACCGGGAGGAGAACGACGGAGGAGAGTTGGAAACTCGCCGGACGGTCGGGAAGAGTGGGCCCCGGAAGTGCGGGGTTCCATTGTCGTCGGCAATTGTTTTCGATTTCTTGAGCACAGGTGGCCTTTCAGCCTTCTTCGGTATAGAAGTAGGGCTAGAGCTAGGGTTAGGGTTAAGGTTAGAGTTAGGGTTAGAATTACTGTTGGAGTTAGAGTCAGAGTTTGAGTTTGAATCTCCATCATTGATAGGCATATTGCTGTAGAGAGAATGAGAAAGACAGAGACGGCAAGAGGGAGAGTTGAGGGATGGGTGAATGGGATGGTGATTATCTTTCCGATGTACCCAAAAAAAAAAAAGAATGGAATGGTGATTGAATGATTGATTGGGTTAAATGGTTATAGAGTTGGAGCTTATTGGATTGGAGAGGGAGAAGCCATTGGAGATCTGAGAGTATCGGAGAGAGAAGAGAGAGAAGAAAAAAAAAGTAGCGAGACAAGAGTGTGTGTTCGATATTAAGCGAGTCTTTCGGTTCTCAGTGGCATCATCTACCTTAATCCACTGTCTTGAATTGGCTGGTTTATCGGTTCGTTCTCACGTGCTTCATACTATCTTAGTTTTACACGGGAAAGAAAAAGGAAAATGATCCAAAAAATATTTATCTGGCACAATGATAGTAATAGATGGGAGTTTGTGGGACCTACTCATTATTAAATTTTTAAATTTCAAGTTATGCGGCACAATGATAATAATTGATGGGAGTTTTGTGGGACCTACTCATTTTTATGGTTTAAATTAATTTGAGATTTAAAATTTAATAAAAAATTTGGTGACATTGTTGAAAAAAAAAAAGGGAATTGCATTTTAATGAAGATTATATTTTAACATTATATCTTTAATATAATATAATTATTGTAATGTGGACATGTTGCTAATTTTTGTTGCTCATTTCGTTAAAAATCACTTTATTACCGTTGATAGAATAGACAATAGAAACTAACAATCACATTACAACACTTCTAACAGTAATGTCATGTTATCTAAGTTTCAATCCAAAATCAGCATTAGATTTTGTAGGCCCCCACCACTAACAAGGGTTCCACTAGATGACATAGAGCGGGAGTGGTGATAAGGCTACTTCTCATCTATCTTGAGCGGGAAAGTGGGAGGCTCTTTGCAGAAGCCTTGCCCGTCATTCTCTATTTTTAGAGATCTCTCATATTGAGGAGGCTTCTCGGACTCATAACAGACGACTAGGAACATGAAGAGGGTCAATAGTCTCTGTCGTTGTAGGTCATTCTCCTTCCGTTGAGATGGGCCTCTTTTTTTTTTTTTTGTTCACCACGGCACAAAAGAATAAAGAAGCTGGAATAACTTAGAAAGAGAGTGGCGTCTAGTCGTTGAGAGAGTATGTTGTCTTTGTAGAGAAACAATATTACGAAAGTGGAAATTTTTTAAATAAGTTAAGAGCAGAAGCGTCATTAAGAACGTCAAAAAATGAGAAATAAAATTATTTATAAATGGTAAAGAAATAAACAAAATATTAAGGTTGTGTTTGGTAACGTAATTTTTTTTTCTGTTTTTGTTTTTAGTTTTTGTCAAAATAAAAAACCAAAATGTGTCTGTGATGTGTTTCTATTTTTTTTAGCAACACTGTTTTAAAAATAAGGCCAAAAAATGAAAGCACAAAAAAAGACGTTTTCAGAAACAAGAAAAAATGGGAACATGCGCACGGGGAATGAGACTTTAATGAGGTTCACCCATCAAACTCCATTAGCAACAAAAAATCTCATTTTTTGGTGGAAGTATTTAAACCCCATTCTTCCCTCCATCTATCTTCTCTCTCTTTGGTGTGTTGCAAAACAATGCTCATCTCCCGTATACCATTTTCAGATCTGCTCTCAGTTGGAAAACGATCTCCCAATCTTTAGATCTACATCGATTTATCCATCTATCTATATATGTATGTATGTATATATGTAGGTATGTATAGATCTATGTGGGTTGTCCATCGATTTCGCCTCTTAGATCTGTTTTGTGTGTGTGCGTGCGTGTTGTGTGTGTGTGTTTATGTGTTTGTGTTTGCATGGGTCTACTGTGTTTTGTGGATCTATGTGTGCATTTGTGTGTATATGTGTGTGTGTGTGTAAAGTCTGTATATATATGTGGGTCTATGTTTGTGTGTAGGGGTGTCAGCTCTAACCCGTTGATACAAATCCAACACGAACGATTATAAAATTAACACGATTATTAAATACGCATAATAAATAGTTTAGACTAATGTTTAATATTTATAACACATTAAATAGATTTTTTTGTGGATCTTGACATGAACGCAACATGAATAACAATAACACAACACGAATAACACGACATGTGGGTCATACGAACATGACATGATTGACCCCCCTATTTGTGTGTGCTGAGTTTTTGTTTGTACTGTGTGTGGGTGTGTTCGTTATGTTGCAGATAAGAGAAAGAGAACAAGGGGAGAGAAAAGGATGGCTCCGGCTTCTCTACTTTTAGAAATCTAACAACATAACATGTTGTTAATTGCAATGGCGGTATTTTGTGTAAATGGCCCCACAAAACAGCCCTCCCCCCATTAAACAATTCAAACTTTTTTCCTCCAGACTTGCTAATTTTTCCTCCACAAAATCAAACCAGCGTTGCCTTTGTCTTCCACAGAAACGAACAAATCCAAACTATTGCCAAAGACGCCTTTAAGTCACTATTTACAACTCGGTGTCAACAAAGTTCCATAATTTTGATTCAAATTATTTTGTAAACATTAACACCCAGGTTTGATCAAATCCTATTCCTATAATTTTTAGTGAATTGATTTTTATTATTTTAGTTCACATTCTCTGTTCACTTCGATTTTCAATAGGTTTTGATATAGCGTGTTTTGTTTAGAGATTTCAATCGATGTGTATGAGCAAGAATTAAATGAGTTGAATTTTGTTGTTTCATTGAATTAATACACTTTTCCACAATAATGAAGCAACAACTAATTTTATCCCTTATTATTCACTGCTTGAATGAAGCTTTCCCTTTTTGACCATTTCATTACTTCACCATTTTCGATTGATTGCACTTTTTTTGCCAATTCCAATTGCTCGCAAGGGATAACAACTCTCGGTTTATCCAATTTTTTTGTAGTTTTTTACCATTGTATCAAGTAGATCTATTTTCGACTAAAATTGTACTATCTCATCCCATTTGATTAATAACCTTTGGTCTCATTTTTTGTAGTGTTGCCCAATGACATTGTCAAGTACAGGAGCAAGTGAAATAAGCTTGTAAAAACTAGAACAAGTGAAGAGGTCGCAATTCCATTAAGGATAGATGAAATGAATAGTTGACTCTAGTGTGTTGAAGCAAATTAAGGAATGACAAATTTGCTACTACTCGCGAGCATACTATCTCATCCCATTTGATTAATAACCTTTGGTCTCATTTTTTGTAGTGTTGCCCAATGACATTGTCAAGTACAGGAGCAAGTGAAATAAGCTTGTAGAAACTAGAACAAGTGAAGAGGTCGCAATTCCATTAAGGATAGATGAAATGAATAGTTGACTCTAGTGTGTTGAAGCAAATTAAGGAATGACAAATTTGCTACTACTCGCGAGCATACTACGATCATGTTTTAGTTTGCTTTTTTCGTTTGTCGCTTTAATGTTGAAGTCATGAAACAAGTTTGTATGTAATTTAGCGATATAAGATGCTCAACTTGCATTGTAGTAGTTTATTTTTCAATTATGGAAATGTATTAGAATTTGGTGAGGCATTGGTATTTGTATTTCGTATGTGCTCTTGTGAAATATGTGTATTTTACTATTTGGTGGTGTGAACATCATGTGAATGAATGATGGTGGTTTGATACTTTGATATTGGTGGTTTGAGCATTCCAGAGTGATGGTTGATATTGGTGGTTTGAGCATGTCATGAGTTATGGTTGATTGGCATGAATGAAGGTGTATTGGCATGTATCTAATATATCAAACTTCATTAAGTAATGAATATGGAGCATCCACAAAAAAATACAACACAACCAACATTCTTGGAAGTTTTTGAAGACTTTGCCAACACAATCAACTACACATTAAACCACAAAAATACAATCCAAACAAAAGAGTATATGAAATGTGGAAATATTGAATCTTCCACAACAAAACAGGATACAATCCTAATGTTGAATCTTCCCTCTACTTTTTTTCTTCATTGGCCACCTCTTAAGTTATCATTGAAAAATTCATAGACGTTTTCATTTACGAAACAAGATTCAGCATCAAATGAAATTCCCTACATGAATAAAAAAATATTCAATGAGGTAAGAAGTTCAATAATAAAGTATGAAAATATAGTATATTTAATCTAACATACCTGAGCGTTTTTCTGTCTATTTAATATTTGTGAAGACAATGGATTAGAATGAGCATAATGTTCACGAGACAAAGAATTTTGTTCATCACTCATTGATACAATTGGTTGAGCAGCCTTTTAAACAAGCATTCCACAACATAAATAAAATAAAGTAAAACAAGTATTTTAAATCTTCTTTAATATAAATACGTAGTACCTTTGACCAATGAGAAGTTTCTATTTTCTTCTTTGCTTGTTTCTCATGTCAAGGGTTTAGTCGACTCCAACCCTTGTAACCACCATCTTTCCTCTTCAAACCTTTTACCCGTAGAATGTTAGGGTCAACGTTCTCCACTCCTTTACTTGCACATGTGTTTTGAAAGGAAGCATGGTCTTCAACACCACCATTGTCGTCATCGCCACCATTGCCTTCATTACTAAGTGATGCATACATAATTTCCACTTGATTGAATAACTTATCAACACCTTGATTCACCAATTGATGGGGAGGTTTAAGGTTAGAGCAACAAGTTGCTAATTGTACCATATTAGGACATAACTGTTTGTAACGTGTTGCTGCCATCAACTTGGGATCCTCCTCATTTGGTGTGGCACTAAAGTCATCACTACATAACTTTCTTGCATCTCGCCTCCATCTATGTATTATGCGTCAGGAAGTTGTTTAATGTTTATTGTGTCTAGCACTTCAATTGCATAACCACATAATATCCCAATCATTTCAAACTTTCGACAGTTACATGCAACTGTTTGCATTACCATTGATCAACATCAAATATTGTCTCTCTTCGTCATACAATTCAACCACAAATTGATGACATTCATCCATCACATTGCATGGATTCGCGATAGCGCACTGGAATATGTCATACTCATATTGAAATAACTCAAAAATAGGAGGAGTGTAACAATGTCCTACTTGTACCAACATGAGAGCTCTTTTTAACTTCATCTTAGGTAATTTTGCCTAGCATGGTATAATGCCTCCATCTCCTTATTTCTCTTGTCATTTATAACTCTATCAAAATGAGTAAAGAATTGAACAATATCATGGTCTAGCTTTAAGTACATCCGTAATACTGAGTTCAAGCTCTCACTCAGTTGGGTGCTCCTCATACCGGCTGTGAAAGTCCGCTTCATATACACATGTGTCC